GTTTTGAAGGCTAGAGTCGCCAAAACGTTACCTCTCTGTATACGTGTCAATGTATTGATGAGGAAAATGCATCTGCTTGTAGCAGTGAATTTCACCGTGGTGGACTGATTAACTTTTGCTTGGAAAAAACCCTTTCATGTGATTACTGTAGTGCTGCTTTTGCCAACAGCTTTCGCGTGTTAGCTAACAGAAGACCACATGGATCCCAGTGGGCTCAAGTCCAATCTATAAGAGTCTAGTTGTGCTACTCTTGCTGAATACCTAAGCAGCCTCCTTGAATAAATATGCGCCAGTACCGAACTACGTACCTACGTGATAACAAAAATTAAAAAGCATTATATGGTAAAAAGTGCTCAGAAGAACAGTTTATTTATTAATCAGTGGTAAAAAGGTTATTTTAGGATAAGACTATGAAACTTATCCGGCTACTAATCACTAAGCTAGGGACTGTGAGCCGGTTGCTCCTGACCAGTATAGAAAAGAAGCAAAACTAGTAAATGTCAACGGACGAGTGCCTACACGGTAAAACAAACTTACAGAAATAAAGTCACTCGTCAACTCTGTAAAAGATTACTGACGATTAGTGGCTAGCAGTGAAATCCAGAACCCGCGTTTCGCCCTGTTTCGGACCCATCAGCTAGATGTACCTACCTCCCAGTGAGTGAAGATGTTCCCACCTGGACTCGCACTATGGACCGACCGTTTCAAATGTCAAGGCGTTATCCACTAGACCACTGGGTCACTATCCATCATTAATACATCATTCAGAACAAGCAATATCGAGACATCCTCAAAGGAGCCCACATGCCAATAGAGACCGATCACTTCGGCTCATTCAACTGCGGGATAATGCAAGCGACAACATCTGTAAACGATTATTTAGATATTTTAAATATTTATTATTAATATTATTTGTCCCTTGGATTCTTAGTGAAACACAGGACTTCAGTTGCATGTCTTCATTGCACTCTCTTCTCTACAGTCTTTTCAACCTCGCTCCACGAATGCCCACAAGCTTTCATTTCTTCCTCACAAGATGTCCTCCATGTCACCCTCGGCACCGACGCCCAACTCGCACTTTCCTCTTTGGATTCCACTGGAGGATCTGGCCTGGTGAATGATGTCGCCGAGTGGTCCTCTCAGTGTATGCCCAATCCATTTCCACTTCCTTCTGCATATTTGTTGGGTGATAGGTTCTTGGTTGGTTCGTTGCCAGCCAGCCAGCCAGCGAGCCAGAGTTCATTGTTGCTTATTCTCACTATTCTGGCAACCCATCTGATCTTCAGTATTGAGTGAGCGTAGGCTGTAGCTGTTGATGAATGTCTGTAGTTTATTGGAAGTGCTTTTCGTGACGCGCCAAGCTTCTGAACCATCATATGGGAGCACTGACTAGACATTGGTGTTGAAAATGCGGATGTTGTTCACGCTTTGTGCTGAGTACAGAAGATCCCCACACCGATTTCCGATTAATGCAGGAAGGCCTGTCTTGCTGTCTTTCCGATCCTGGCTACTTTGACATCCTGATCTGTGCCGCTGCCACTGCCTGTAGTTGAAATGATGCTCCCCTGCTTAGGTAGGTAGGTAGATGAAAGAGATAACTTCCTTTAGATTTCTCCCGTTGATGGTGATTGGTGCTTGTTGTTGATGCTGTTGTTGGTTGAGTATCTTCATCTCCTCTGTCTTCTCTACATTCACCTGAAGGAAGTCCCATCTTCACTGCTTCGCCTCTCTTGTCAACTTGTTGATTTTTGCTTCTAGATCTTCGAGTTTGTGAGACATAAATGATGATCGGCGAAATCCAAGTCTTCTTGTGAGGTCTTTCCATCGGTCTAACCAATGTATGCCCCTGTTCTCGGTCTTCATAATTTGTTGCATGATCCAGTCGACCACAGTCATGAAGATTATGGGTGAGAGTAGGTAGCTTTGTCTTACTTTTGTTTTCATTTCAAAGGCATCACTGAGCTCTTCATTGTGAATCACTTGGCATGTAGCGCCACATAGCATATAGCATCTATTGAATGAGATTGATAAAGGTTTGTGGCACTAAAATCGTGATGTTGAAGCAGTTGCCAATCGGCTGGCCCTGTCAAAGGCCTCTTCAAAATCGATGAAGTTGACGTAGGAAGTTGACTGCCATTCCATGTTCTGTTCTATGATGATGCGTAGCGTTGCGTTGCAATTTGGTCTGCACATGATTTGTACTTCCTGAAGCCAGCCAGCCAGTTCCGATCGTAATTTTGAATCCAGTGCATCTTTTAGTCTCTCCAGGATGATACGGCTTAGTATTTTGCTTGGGATAGAGAGGAGCATGATTCCTCGTCAGTTCCTGCAAAAACTTAGGTCTCCCTTCTTTGGAAGTTTGACAACGTAGGCCTTGTTCTGATCGGCAGGATTTTAAATGTTTACTTATTTATTTTAAACCTAGCAGTATTTTTTTTGGCTAGATTGTGCACTAAAAACCCAAGATTACTGGTTCAGACACCTGAGTTTTATCTACTAGACTGGATAGCAACAAGAATTGTATATGATATGACTGATATTCGTGTAGCTAATTAACATATTCATTTGTAGATTAATTTGTTATGTTAATCGGAGCAGATCATCAAATGATATTCAGTAATAATTAGCAGCTCTCTAAGATACTAATTTGTTGCGGTTTGATGATATCTCTCTGATGATTGTATTCTAATTATTCTCCTGTATAACATATTATCTAACCTCAGTTGTCAACCGGTTCTATCAAAACTATGTGACCTAAATTTTATACACTTTCTAATGTACATTTAATTTAAATCGATCAACGACTATGAAGTGTATACTCAAAATTAGATTGTCATAAATATCTTATAATCTGCTTATATAAAGTCTGTTTATAGATGAATTATTATCATATAGGTCAATGGTTTATATCTGAAATCATTGTGTTTCTTCTACTTCTGTGATATATAACTTCTTTACTGAGTTGTTTTTTTACATTATAAGTAAATATGCTTATTAGATTTGATAAGAATAACATTTTAATGCATAGCTATGTACTGTTTGTTGAATGGAACAGAATTTCGTTCTTACCACTACTGTTATAGAATCCAACGATCAGTGTTTATCCCGTGAGGTTTAAAATGTACACTTTTTCGCGTTTATATCATCTTTTTGTTGTTAGCCGTAAATATTTAACTACTTCACGGTTACTAATGTATTGTCTTGAACTTTTCCTATTAGACATGTGTTTCTTTTTGGTCATAGTTTATACAAGTATTCGGCTGATAAGATTATCTTTCATTACTTCGATCTTGTACATAGTTTGTTGATACTTGGCTTTGCTAACGTAATCAAATATCTGGGTTGTTTTTGGCTAAATATCCCCCCCAGTGAATCAAAGATATTCATGTATTTACTATTTCAGTTATCTAGATGGATTTATAAAATTTGGAAACACAGCAGCTGGCCATGTTCTCATTTGTATTCAAAAGTCACAGTCCGTTATAATCTCACAATAACTTCTAATTTTGTCCTGTATAAATGGTAAAATAAGATGAGAGAAGCATGAAAATTGTATCTGATCACTACTATATTGGCTTTCCAGACTTTTTTTTTGTTTGGTGTACCATACACTTCGCTAATAATCTTATGTCAAATTGTGTTTTAAACTAATGACTACACATTGATACGAAGCTCAATACTCTCTCATCCTGTTGAAAATGATCACAAAGTTATTTATTAAATTCCTTCTAATCTCATTCATGGTCTACAAGTTCATCGTGTAAATGCAATAGGAGCCATCGAAATCCACTTAAACAAACTGTCTATATGTTCAGAAGAAATTCGTACAGCCCCTTTCTTTGCCTCCGTCATCTGTATATCTGATCTATAAGAAATATCACCCTTTCGTTTATCCCACAGGTGATTACAATTATTGTCATGATTATTACAGTTTTAGCCATCTTCTTCTCCCTCCTGTTTGCTTTAATTACCATCAACAATTGATCACTTGACATAATAGTTCATTTTCTCTTTTCTTCGTGTTACTTATTATTTTATTATTATTTGTCCCTTGGATTCTTAGTGGGATGCAGGGCTTCACTTGCATGTCTTCATTGCACTCTCTTCTCTACAGTCTTTTCAACCTCGCTCCACGAATGCCCACAAGCTTTCATTTCTTCTTCACATGATGTCCTCCGTGTCACCCTCGGCACCGACGCCCAACTCGTACCTTCCTCTTTGGATTCCACTGGAGGATCTGGCCTGGTGAGTGATGTCGCCGAGTGGTCCTCTCAGTGTATGCCCAATCCATTTCCACTTCCTTCTGCATATTTGTTGGGTGATAGGTTCTTGGTTGGTTCGTTGCCAGCCAGCCAGCCAGCGAGCCAGAGTTCATTGTTGCTTATTCTTAACTGTGGTTTGGCAAACTTTTACTATTGATCATTTGAGAGGGGGGGGAGGATTGGGAAGAACCGGGAACCGCTAGTTCGGATACTGTCTCATAGCAAATTTTCAGTTCACCTTCAATTATCATCCAGTATCACCTTCTGTACCAAAAAACTTGAATAGTAACCTGAAAACTTTTGAAAAAAGTCTTCTTAACAAGATCGAAACGTTGAGAAATAGTACAAAATTTTTGTTTACTATATCGGGATTACACAACTTAAAATACTCCTTTTATGGTGAATTATTCAACAAACTTTAAAATTTCAGGAATTTTACTATGTAATTAATCTTTACTTCAATTACTGTTGAATTACCATGATTAATTATCACCCCGTTGTTACTACAGGACTGATAATCTGTTATGAAACAGTTATCACTATCATAATGAGATGTTATCAGTTTATATTTCAAGAATGCTATATAATAAAGTAGAGGCATTGATGAGGAGCTAATTGAAAACAAATATTGCTTCATTCATATTGTATAAACCAATAAAAGTTTGTTTATTCCATTCTTCTTACCGTTTTGAACACCTTTCTTTTTGTTTTTCCTGCTCTCCATCTTTTTTTCACCAGGTTAAAGAAATTGTCTATTTCAATGCAATTCTAGCACCTAAAGATTCTCGAGCAAAATGGCGTGCTACATGTGTCTGGAAAGAAACTGATCAAATCATTAATCAATTGGCTAAAATCAATTACTTAGACACTGGTATTTCACAACAACACCAACAACATGTGGAACACAACCACTCTCAGCTGAATGATGATCCTGATTCAGGATTGGATAACTCTGATGAAATTGCTGATCATAGAAAGTTAAATAATAATAATAATAATACTACAAAAGTGAATTGTTCAATTAAGTCTTTATTTGATGAAGATGATATGTCTGCGCAGTATGACTTCATAATTAATTGCTTTGCCAATGTTCGTATGGTTGATGTCTGGGAGATTGAACAGTTTACAAGTCAAGTAAACCTCACTAATACGGAGTTAGTCAATAATGATAATAGTATTAATAATGACATTTACAACAATATTAATAATAATCACCAGAAGCTGTTACAACAACAGCATACCAATGGTCATCCTTTACCGTCACCACATAATCCAATCGATCTGGATAGAAGTTCATCAGTCAGTAGTGAATCATTGTCTGATTTGAATACATTATCAGAAATACCCAGTATCATGTCTGGTATACAACCGGAACTACCTAAAAGATTAACTTTAAGCTCCGCTGATAGTACTAGTAATAATAACAATAATAGCAGTAGTAGTAATAGTAGTAATTATACTTCTAATCATAGACAACTCTATAGACTTTTAACACATAAACCAGGCTGTGCATGTAAATGTCTTTTATCCACAGAATATATACTGATGCCTGAAACAAAGACTGTCAACAGTGTGACAACACAAACCTTATTCACTGGAGAAGTTAAAGGGAAATTATTTTATCATGAAGAAACATAAGACAGTGTTAATCGTCATTTCTAAATCATTTTCTTAAACTCTTTTATTTAATTCTATTTTCTAACTTAGTTCCCAGACATACATGTCATGCATATGTGTTCTTTGTCTGTTGCCTTGTTGAATACACATAATAAAAGAAATTGTTATACTTTCTACTCAGGTATTGTTTATTTCCACTTTTATGTATACACTGATTGTATACTCTACCTTGTTATCTAATAGACTATTGTTCAGAACATAGACTAAGTTTTGTGTCATTCAAAAATGAGTGTATTATTAAAACCGATTTACTTTGGCCGATAAAGGAGACTATGAAGTCAGTGTTTGTGTGTTTACTGGCTTACTTGCTTGCTTACTTACTTACTTACTTACTTTTACCATCGTCTCTCTACTTTACTTTCAATGACGGGTATAAAACACGATGATTAGCTACAAACAGTTTCATTTTACAATTTATCTTTAATCAATCACCTTACACGGGATGATATTTTCATTAAAACAAAAAAGTTACATATATTGTACTATATTTTCCTTTTGTTTAATTTTCTTATCTTTTCTCATGTTTTCCTCTTCAATGTTTAAAAGATGCATTTCTCATTCATCAATCAATCATAAGTTTTACTTGATTAATGGAGATTTCAGTGTGTGATTTTGGGGAGTGAATCTATCTGGAGTTTACAGCTGTTCTTCTCAGAAGATGGAATGTAGAAGCCAACAAAATTCATTCTGTTCAGTCGCATCTTATTCCCTATATTCCTCTAATTATCATATAATTATTATTCGTTTTTTAAAGAGAAAAAACAACTTTTTTTTCTTGGCTTATTCGAAAACATATTATTTGTAAGCATATCATTAATGATAGTAACAAGTTCATCGGCATTGATCCTAGAAAGTGATTGGTTCATTGAAGTTACTTTGATGGTAAATATTATTTGCTCATTTTGTTTTAGAGTTTTAGAGCATTCTTCATGGCTGTGAGTACACTTCTTCTATTCTTTGTACACGCAGATAGATATATTAATTCACTTTTGTATTTCACGTTTGTTTCTGATCTCCTCACCTCTTTTGTCACCGTCTTCTACGCTCTTTTTTCTAGAAAAAACCGAATTTTTACTCTACATATATATATATATATATATATATATATATATATATATATATATATATATATATATAAGATAGAATAATCACCGTAATGAAAATGATACTGATGCGATGGGCACGTCAGTTATGCTAAGCAATTTATCAAAATAAATATAGTTCAGTTTATTTATCTACGATTAATGCTGCCGCTTTTAAAATCTATATATCTTTATCATGTATTCTTACTTCGATTTATATGAAAACTCTCGATATACATCTATAAAAGTACATTGTTTGATTGCACCGCCATAGCTTTTAGCGAATCACATGTGTGTGACTTGGTTCTTTAAAAGGTACCTGTTATTTTAATGTTGTATTCTGTAATAACCGACATCACTCTACCTAGCGTAACTCATCTAATAAGCGAATGATTTGAAGAAAGCCCTATCAAAATGCAAAGGATTGATGGCATAACCATTTTGAAGGCAGTAAATGATTTATTCATAGATGGAAACGTGTAGTAACTGTCACTATAGGCTACAAGTCATCACGTTAACAGCTATTTCCCGCATGATTAGTGTTTGATGTAACACAAGAGTTACATTTGACCATGAAACCGTTCGTATAAAAAACATTGACAATTGAATTGTACCGTCAGTGCCCAAATGAACTTTCGACATGTGAATGTAGCATACCATTCTAAAACAATCAATTAACATTCTAAAATTGTGTCAATCCTATCGATTAACCAATAATACGCGATTGGGAAATAATGTGATAACTAGTTGACAGTTATCATGATCAAAGAGATATCACTAGGTGATTCGGTGAATGATCACTTTTCTCATCAAATTACAGAGATAGAATAAACGTGAGAGTAAGTTAATTTATAGGTACTCGACTTTTATCTAGCGACAGCCTCCTACCGCTGGGAATCAAATTCATTCACGTTTGGGTCACTTTTATTGACTATAACTCAAAGTGTGGATCATAATGTGACTTACGCAAGAGAATGACATACCTTCAGAGATATAAAGCCATGCCACCAAGAGTCCCCAACCACTGATTCCTATCGTCTCGGGGACACCAGCCAGGTAGCCTGCATCTCTCCATATGGTTCAGTTAGCGACTGGTGCCATATCTTAGTCATGTCACTCTGAACCTTCTTCCCAAATAATCAAAATTTCTCTAGCACTGCACATTCAGGTAGGCGATGATACCCAGTACATCTCCAACCCATCTCATCCGACGAAGGTTTATAACCTGATCAATCGACTTGCCTGTCTTGCTGAACACCTTTTGCCTGACCTCAACAGTGTTCAAGCATTGACTGCGCCAAACGCAAGCAGTTCAACGAACACACCTGTAGTCGCAAACCTATAGCTGCCTCAGGACAGAACAAACTTATCACTGTTCATTACAAGGATATAAAATTCATGTATGCCAACTTTTCATTTCACATATCAGAAAAACCTTATATTTTCAAATCAAATATACTAACAAGCTCTTGAAAATTACTAATGCCAACTTGTTATGTAAGACGCAAAACAGTGAAGCTGATAGATGTTTTCAAACAACCTCTTAGTGGCTTCATTTGAAAAAAAAAGATGATGAAGCTGAATATGCACTACGCATTTTCACAATTCAGCCTCTAATCATGCACAGAAAGACGATATGGAACTGTAATTTTCAGAGTTTGTCTACGAACCAATGCGTTAAGTGTTTCAATCCAACTACAACTGAGAGTTTATTTTATACACGTGGACAGATTCTTGAACTTTTAAACAATAATACGAAGGTCTATATACTTACTGACTAGCATTACCTCTACTTACCTTTTGAAAGATGAGTTTATAAAGTTTATCTAGGATACCAATGTTCACACAACAATTGTTTTCCAGAGATACAACAGTAATAAATTGAATAATCAGGTTATTCTCACTTTAATACAATTCCTTGTGCATATTTATTTACTGCCCAATGTTATATACTACTTATGTGCCTAATCCGTAAAATGACTTCTGCATTTTAAGAGGCATACTACTCTTCCCGCCCCTTTCCCCTAAAAAATATATCCCGACTAGTTTCTTTCCATCACTATATAGAAGTGTTTTCTGTAGCATGAAGTAGTGAAAGATAAAATGGTTTCTTCGAATTATTTGTATTCCAGTGGTAACTTGAAGTTATCATTATGTAATCAGTTTATGTATATTTTCGTGTACTGTGTTAACGACATTTAAGCACTAGTAGATCCACCTACCTTTTGCACATCTAGCAGCAACCGTCATACCGTGGATCAATAAAGTGATAATCAGTAATTTCATGAAGTCCTAATGAAGCAAACTGAACTTATCAAACTGATTCGTGTTCAGTATAGGTCAATGATCACATCGTCTTATTTGGTAATGGTAGTTAACAGTTGATGAGTAGAAGAGTGAAAGCATTCAAGTACCTGATTTAGTGTGCTTCACAGAGCAGTGAGTGAGTGAGGTGCAGAGTGACTGACTGACTGAAAGCCTAAGACGTTACGGTGCCAAAAGTCACTAAGTCTGCATCATAGATGTGAATATCACTGAATGTGAGTGAAGTGTTAATATTGTAGCTGTCAAGTAGGCTGGCAAGCTCTAAAGAAAAAAAGAATCTTGTCTTGGATAGAAATTTAAAGGTAATGATAAGTTATTTGAACAGAGAACGATACCCTTAGAAGAATAATAAGTTAAAGATAATATTTTTGGAAAGTCACATCTACCCATCATTAAAACCCAGAAAGTATTTGTGTTGGGTTCAGCTGTCAGTATACCCCGAAGTTGAAGTAGAAGAAAACTTTACTACAAGATAAACTGACTAATCTGTGATTACTGACGAGTCTAGCTCGAATAGCCATAGTTTAGGAGACTGCTGCTATTCCCTCATAAGAATTACTGAAGGTGAAATGAAAAACAGAGTATTATTATTACTATTATTATTATTATTTGTCCCACGGGTTCCTAGTGAAACATAGGAGTTCAATGGAACATCTCCATTCCACTCTGCTCCCTGCAGTCTTTTCAACCTCGCTCCACGACTGCCCACAAGCTTTCATTTCTTCCTCACATGATGTCCTCCGTGTCACCCTCGGCACCGATGCCTGACTCGTCCTTTCCCATTCGGATTCCACTCGAGGGACTGGCCTGGCACGTGATGTCACCAATCGGTCTTCTCAGTGCATGTCCTACCCACCTCCACTTCCTTCTGCATATTTGTTGGGCGATTGGTTCTTGGTCGGTTCGTCGCAGGCCAGAGTTCATTGTTGCTTATTCTCATTATTCTGGCAACCCATCTGATCTCCAGTGTCAGTATCGAGTGAGCGTAGGCAACAGGTGTTGATGTGATGTGTGTCTGTAGTTTGTTGGAAATGCTTTTCGTGACGTGCCAAGTCTGTGAACCCTATAGCAGCACTGACTTGACATTGATGTTGAAATCTTGGATCTTGTTATTTGTGCTGAGTACAGAAGATCCCCACACTGATTTCAGGTTAATGAACGCCTGTCTTGCTATCTTTCCGATCCTGGCTGGCTTTGACGTCCTCATCTGTGCCACCTCCGCCGCCTGTAGTTGAAACGGTGCTGCCTTGCCTACGTAGGTGAAGGAGGCTACTTCCTTTAAGTTTCTCCATTGATGGTGATTGGAGCTTATTGGTGGTGGTGATGCTAGTTGAGTATCTTCATCACCTCTGCCTTCTCTACGTTCACTTGAAGTCTCATCTTCCCTGTCTCACCTCTTCTTTCAACTTGTTGGCTTTCACCTGTAGATCTTCGAGTTTGTGCCACAAGACATTAGACACAAGTCGTTGGCGAAATCCAAATATTCTAGGATCTTTTCCGCCGTCCAACCTATCCCCTCCTCTCGCTCCTCACTGTTTGTTGCATGGTCCAGTCCAGTTCAGTCGACCACAATCAGGAATATCATGGGTGATAGTAGACAGCCTTGTTTTACTCCTTCCTATATTCACTTCGAAGGAATCACTGAGCTTCCCATTGTGAATTACTTGGCATGTCATGTCTTCATATAGTTGTTGAATGAGGTTGATAAAGGCCTGTGGTATTTCGTAGTGTTGAAGCAACAGTTTCCAGATTACTTGTCGGTCGACGCTTTGAAGGCCAGCCTTTTCAAAGTCGATGAAGTTGAGGTAAAAATCCAGTTGACTGCCATTGTATGCTCTTTTCTATGATGTTGTGTTGTGTAGGGTAGCGTTGCGATTTGATCCGCACATGAATTGTACTTCCTGAAGCCAGCCAGCCAGTTCCAGTCGTAGTTTTGAATCCAGCACATCCTTTAGTCTCTCCAGGATGATGCGGCCTAATATTTTGCTTGGAGTGGACGGAGATGGGGCATGATTCCTTGCCAGTTCTTGCAAAGACTTAGGTCTCCCTTCTGTGGGATTTTGACAAGGTAGACCTTCTTCCAATCAACCGGCAGGTACCTTTCCCTCATTCCAGAACTTCTGCAATAATGGTGTGAACGCGTCCGTTGTTGTCTCTGCGTCTGTTGTCAGTGCTTCTGATGGAATTCAATCTGGTCCTGGTGATTTCCCGGCTTTCGCGAATCTTATGGAGTTCAGGACATCACTTCTGCTTTTGTCTGAGGGTTTGTGTTCACTTGTAGATCTGTGGCATTTCCGGACAAGTTGCACTTGATGGTTCTGATCGATTCAAGAGTGTTTTGAAGTGGTCAGTCCATCATTTCCTTTGTTTCTCTTCTTTGGTAATTAGATTTCCTTCATCATCCTTTATTGATTTCATCTGTGCTGATCTCTTCCCTCCCACACAGTAACCTGGTTATTTGATATAGTGTTGTCAGGTCTCTGTCTCTCCTACCTGCAGCAGCCTGTTCTGATTCACTTGACAATGTGTCGTAGAACTGACTTCTATCCTTGTAAGCACTCTTCTTCACTTCTTTCTCCAGTGATTTATACGTTGTACTCAGTTCCCCTTCTCGTTGTTCATCCTCGCATTGGTTTATCTTCTGCTTCACCATCACCATCTTCCTCTCCATGC